ATATATATATATATATATACACATATATATGAATAACATTAATGCACATCAGTAACTCGCCAGTAACTCATCATTTAATGCATGTTCCTGTAAGAAAACATCGTAAATAAAAGAAAATCCGGCGACTGTAATAATCAAACCCTTGGGAACAACTGTGGTCGGAACCAAAGTTCACAGGTCTGTGTTCTTTGAACTCCTCTCAAGCGTTGGACTTCTTCATTCTGATTGCTTGCCGCCAAACTACGTCATAGCTCATTACCATAAAGTTGACTTGATTTCAACTCTCCTCGACGCCCACACTGGCAAAGAGGCGCCGCGCTGCTCCTTGCCGCTTATCGCTGCCGCCTCTCATTGAAAATGAATGACTTCTGGGTAATTTGACGCTCTCGCGGCTTTCGGTGTGAACATACGGTTATATGCAAAGCATAATGGGTAATTATAATGGGTAAAAGTCTATGCAAGCTTGTTTGTACAGTCCGCTGATTATAGATATAAAAATAAACCATTGAAACCTGGTGCATATTACAATATGCATTACTTTTATGTTTTATTCATATTGTTCCTCCTAAACTCAAACAGGAATTAGATTGAATACCATGAATGCATTCAGGCTCCTCAACACAATATGTGAGTGTGTGTGTTCTGAATGGTGTGGGTATGCCACAGATATTACAAAAAGAATGTGACTTATAAACACATTGCCCATGTCCCCACTTTTCAAAATGCTCATAGATCATTCAGAATATGCATTTTTAGAAACTAAAAGCGCACGCACTTTTCCTGTAAGAGTAGCGTTAGATGCAAAATACAGTTTGTACAGTACAAAAACCATTACACTTATGAAATGTCCCGAAAAATCACAAAAAAATAAACAAATGCATGTGTATGTGTGTGTGAATGGCACTCACTGCAGATGAGGAAGTACACAGAGATGCAAATGAGGAGAGAGCAGCTCTGAGTCAAAGACGCCACCAGAGCAAAGATCCCTCCAAACACCAGCAGCACCAGGCTGAGCGGCAGCAGCACCACGATCACCCTGTGCAGGTCTGACACACACACAAACCATCAGCTCAATACAGTATGATGTGTATCATCTATGGTAATATCGAAATAGTTCTCAACAAAGATATTATTACAATTAGGAGCAGTGTTGGTGGTAATGAATTACAAGTAACGTCTGCAAA